TTTGAATTGATGTCTCACTGAAACTTGCATTTACTACTAAAATGAGAAGTTTGTCAAATTTTTTTTGAAAGACTAAAAAATTTTATATTTATTTTATATCCAATGTCTATGTCTGACTAAATACAACTTTTACTACTAAAGCGAAATTTTTCCAAAACTCTCAGAGTTTTGTTTTGAGAAATTGAGAATAGTTTCGTCTGATTGAAACTGACATTTACTACTGAAATTAAAAATTTGAAACTTTTAATTAATTAATAATTAATAATTCCTAACATAAAAAATACATAAGAATAATAAAAAAATATATGTTTAAATAAAAAAATGCTACATCGAAACTCAAACGATGACGATTTTTCAAACATTCGACAAAATTCTCACAACGGAGATAAAATTTTTACAAAAATTTTTATAAAACACAAAACTGTATTATTAAAATTTATTATAATTTTATAGTTATTAATTAAAGAATACAATCATTTTTGTACACTTTTGCTTACTTGTATATTTACATATATATTTACACGCAAAAGTGGATCTGATAAAATGCCAATTTGATTGCAGATTTAATTTTCCGTTTTCCCAGTTGAACGTCGACAAAATAAATGATAAAATTTTCAGATAAAACTTTCTGTCTCAAAAGGATAACAAATTGGATGGAGATAGGACCTTGAGGCGATGTAAGAAGAGAATATGTAGTCGGTTTTCTCTTCAATTGTTATACTCCAAAAAAGTAGGTTAAAATTCTCATAACGTTGCCAGATTTAAAACCATGTTTTTGAAAAAAACACACACACATTCATGTATAAAGGACAACATTTTTTAAATAAAATATGAAAATTTGTTTTAATATTTAAAAATATAAAAGAATTATTTATCAGGTCAAGATCAAGATTCGTATAATATAGACATAGAAATAGCTGCTAAAGAAAAGTATACTCAAGGTTATGAAGTTTTCCCTTTTATTTCCTTCCGCACTAAATTTCTTTTCGTATAAATTAGAGTAAATTAAAGTGGAACCTTTATAAATTTTATAGTTTTAATTAAATTTTTAATTCAATAAATTTAGAAATGAAAATATGCTTAAAAATCGTAAAATAAATTGTTTGTTACATTTTTAATCAATGTATTTGTTCATATTTTATTGTCTATAGAATTTAATTATTCAGTTTTTTTTCATTATTTTTATTTATTTTTTTTTTTCTTATCTTTTACTTCTTTTTTTTGTAGATTTTTTATTTTTTGTACAATTTCGCTGTTTTTATTTTTTCTTCTTTTATTTTTTTTTTCTACTTTTGAAAAACCTTTATTAAAGGGTAAAATTTACGTCTCATATTGTAAACTTTGAGAAGTTTAAACTTCAATGTCTCCGTCTTAGAAGCATTTAAACTTTAGTGTTTCAATTTAAATTCAATAAAACGTCAAGGGTCTAAGAGAGCGCATGGAGTATACGAAGATTGACTTTTATAACATGAAAGCATAGAAAGAGAGAGAGAAAGCAGCTTTTATTTCACAAAAAGCAAATATAAATTTTGAGTGGCTTTCATTTAAAGGATTTTGAATTTTTATATTTTTAAATGTTCAAAACGAATTTTATTCACAATAAAAATCATGCGAAATCAGAAAGGAAAATAATTTCAGTATTTTTTGTAAGTGAAAAATAATCTTTAAAATAAAAAATATTTTTCAAGTTACACACGCCATTTGATTTGTTGCATTTAACCTAAATTTTAATTTTTTATCTTCTGACCTAATTATATGTACCTAATTACAACTTTCTTTTAAACCTTCATTTTATTAAAATCATTTTAAACGCTGAAAAAGAATTTATTAAATGAAAAAAAAATCAAAAATAAACTGTAATAAAATTTTATAAATAGAATTACAATAGTCAAAACTTTTATTGTTATAAAAAAAATAAATTTAAAAAGAATTTAAATAATTATAAAATTATAATTAAGTAGAATTATAAAAATTGTTATAATAGTTATAAAAAAAAAATCAAATTCCATTAAAAAGTAAATTTAAAAAATTTTCCCGTCTTTACAATTTTCTCCCACATTCAATATCTAAGTGACTATATAATGGCCATTAGGAGAAGTTTCCTGGAATTGATTTCTTACATTTCTTTTCTTTTTCGCCGTCCCTTTTTTTTACGCTGCAATCAATAAATAATTGAGATTTAAGAACTAAAAGAAAGTTGAATGTGACAAAGAGTGAAATACGAGCTCAGGTGGCCAAGTTTAATTCAATTTCGAGCAACGAGTGGTGCTGTGTGGTGAACTTGTCGAAGAATAGAAAAGTTTTGAAAACGCGTTCGCTGATTTTAAGTTGGATTACACACACATAGAGAAAAGACAAGTATGTGATAACAAAGAATAAAAAAAAAAACAAGAAAAGGAAAAATAAAGAAAACCGAAAAAGTACAATTGGTGAAGTAGAGCGTTGAATTTTCCAAAGACTTTGGCACGTCTTTCGAACGAATCCACACGTAAAAACTATTTCGTTGTGTGTGCTTTTCGTGGAAATCTGTGTAGAACGAACTCGAAAAGAGAGTGGGGGGTGAAAAAGACGTTAAAACTAAAATCAAAGTTCCTTGAAAGCTCAACACGTATATATACATATACAACAAAGTAAAGACTTTAAAAACACATCTTCATATTTTTCAATTTTCCAACAATTCACTACTTGTATGTATATATATATATATAATCAGAAATAGCTCATAAAACATCATTTGCATTGTGAAGTCTCAGAACTTTTTTTTTCAGTCATATCTGATACATTTATTTTTTTTTATATCTTTTCATTCTTTCTTCTTTTTATTCTCCAATCTTTTTCTTCTTTTTTCAGAAAAAAAATTTTTGAAAAAGAAAATATTTTTGAAGAAGAAATTATAATTTCCTTTTGCTTTAATGTATTGCAAGTGAAGGCATTAATAATTTTTTAAAGTAGGATTAATTTTTAGTTTTAAAATATAATGAGACCTAAATATAAAGAATAAAAAGTAGAATAATCCTTTCATAAATAAAAATTTAGAAAGAAAAGCATTCAGTCTGTATGGCATATTAAACAAATAAAAACGTTTCTTTCTTTATCAAAATAATGTCACCAGGACTCGAACCAGTGAATGTATTTAAAAATACGGACTTTACGGACCAAAAATGAAAAATTAGAGACCATTTATGGACTAATTACTGACAAAAATATAACCAGTCCGAGTGAAATAAAAGAACTTTTATAATAATTAAAGATGACCGAGTGATAAAATTATTATCAATTCAATTATTATTTTCAAGAATTTTTAACTAAAATTTTTCTTTAAATCTATCATTTTCAATAATTTTCGAAAAAGTTCTTTAACAATTTTCAAAAACATTAAATTCAAAATTAAATTATTTCTAAAAGTTCACAATATATTGCTTTTACACTGTAAAAAATTTAGGGAGTTGACGGTCACTGGAGTTGGGAGTGAAATTTTTCGAGTTAAAAATCAACTCCAAAAGGAGTTGAATGTTTTTTAAAATTGAATTCTTATAAAGAATTGGATCAAAAATTTTTAAATAATTGAATTCTTTCGACGAATTTTAATAAAATTTTTAAGAATAATTCGAGAAATTTGCTTAAAATTGTATTAAAAATAATTGAAATTATGCGATGAGTTTTATTATTTGTGAAAATAATTGAATCTATAAGAAGAATTTTATTATTTTTGAACAAAATTGAATTTCTTGGAATATTATTATTCTTGAAAATAATTGAATTTCTGCAAAAATTTTATTATTTGTGAAAATAATTGAATGATTGCCAAGAAATTTATAAAAAAATTTGTAAATAATTGAATTCCTCTGGAATTTTTATTATTTTATGGAAATAATTAAAGGTTTGCGTAGAATTTTATTAAAATTTTTCTTAATTAATTGAATTCTTTTGGAAAATTTTATTAAAATAATAGATATTAAAAATCATTGAATTCAGGAATTTTTTTTAAAATAATTGAAATTTTGACAAGAATTTTATTAAAATTTTTGAAACTAATTGAATTTTGGAGAAGAATTTTATTATTTCTATAAATACACGGGAAAAAAAATCTTACACCTAGCATAGTTTAGTTTTAAATTTGGTCTAAAAACTAGTCGATAACTAATAAATACTAATTATTATTGTTTTATTTTAACTTTTTATCAAATTGGGCTACAGAGTTGCGATAAAACTATAAAAGCAGGCGCGCAATTTTTGAAATTACTACTGCGATAGCTTCAATTTCAACAATAGTAATTTGTTTAAACAATTAATAAAATTATTATTTCTAGATTGTTGTTAGTAACTAGTTACATTTGTTCTGAAAAGTTGCAAAATTGAGAAAAAATCGCAACTCTGTAGCTCAATTAGATAAAAAGTTGTAAATAAACAATAATAATTTATTTAAACAAATTAGCAATTACAGGGAATAATTTTTAAAAATCAATTTTTGTATTACTTATTCAAAATCTAGGAAAAATCTTTGACAAAAATTGTAAAAAATATTTTTAACGATTTTTTCGTAATTTTGAAATTTATGGCGTTTTTTTGGGGCACTATAAAAAATAGTTAATATTAAAAAAGTATTAAATAGACAATTTAGCACTATTTGAAGTCTTCTGAAGAGAAACAGAGTTTGATGAATAAAAAATATTAATTTTCAAGGATTTTATACCAATTCTACAAAAATGTTTTTTCCCATGTATTTTACATGGGAAACTTTGAGCGCTTTGAACGACCTTAAAATATTTTTTTGATTTTCAACAAAAATAGGGGTATTTTTTTCGATATAGAATAATCCTAGGTGATGAAAGCATTAAAATTTTGATTTTATTTTTATTTTACCACCCTATTGGACACTCTATGGTTAAATAAAAGATTATGATTATTAAAAGAAACACTTTATATAGAATAAATAATTTTATTTATTAATACTCTTCTGGTAATCCATGGTTAAACACGCGGTTATCACAGAAGTAACGCCAAGTAAGCAGGTAACTGGCGCGCAACACAGCAGCGCATCTAACACAAAGTAACGTAATCTTTCTCTGTTCAGTGTCGGAAACACTCATTTTCTAACACTCCCTCCTGTTCGCATCCTTATACTTCCATAATATTTATTCGAATTAATTAGTACCTGTGAACATAGAAAAAGGATTAGACAATTGAATTCACACCATAGCGTGATATGGATAAATGATTCTGTGAAGGGGAAATAAACTCATCTAATTCTTTACAAATTAATTTTGGATTAGTTGTATGTTCTGTTGTACCCCAACCTGCTATGAATTTTGTAAATAATTCTGATTTTTTTAATTCAAAACTATTATCTATTTGACTCACGTGTTAAATATTTAATTTCTTTGTTTCGTACTCACCCTTTTTTGTTTTCATCGTTCTGTTTTTTTTTCTTTGCTGTCAACTTTTGGACACCCATTTCTACCCCTTTTTGCTACTGTCGTGGGTGTTTCATTTGCTAGTCAGGAATGATTTTACAGATATTAGGATCACCGAACAAAAAGAATTTTTTAAATATTTTTTATATTTGTTGTAAAATAAGCATCTAAAGTATATGAAGTCGTAAAAACTGTCACATTTTCATCTATTCGAAAATATTAAAGAAAACACATCCCTTATGAAAAAAGAGTACTGGAATGAGTATTGGAAAGAGTACTGGAATGAGTATTGGAAAAAGTACTGGAGTGAGTACTGGTTTGAGTATTGGTTTGAGTATTGGAAATCCAGTACTTTTTTCGCCTTTATATAATCTAAAATTCTTTTACTCGAATATTTGCAATTGACTCTATTCTTAAACCTGAAATATTATAAGTAAAATTCATTTTTCTTATTTTTATTTCCTATAATTCTTATTTTTCTTAATTCTAATTGTCGGAATAATTTTCTGTCATTTCTGTCGACTTTTTAATGTCCACATAACCTAAAATTTATTATTTATTTTATTTAAAAATAAATATATATATATATATATATTTTTTTTTTAAAATCACATAATCATATCCACCCCCACAGCACCGAAACTTTCCTAAAAATGTAATTAATATTTACTTGCAATATTCGGAATATTTAATTGCAATGTTTATTGAAAGTTGTGTACAGATTTAAATGTCCCGATTTAATAAATGTTTAGCGCGAAGCTTTCCTGAACATTTCAATAAAATCTTTGCATAATTATAATTATAATTATGCAAAGATGTAATTTCATGTTCAGGAAAGCTTCGCGCTAAACATTTATTTAATCGGGACATTTAAATCTTTATACAATTTTCACTAAACTTTTCAGTTAAATATGACGAATATTGCAAGTAAATATTTAATAAATTTTTAGGAAAGTTTCGGTGCTATGGGGGCACTAATATTGACATAATTCCTATTTTTTTAATGTCCTATTTTTTATTTTATTTGTTGTTTTTCGTTCTTCCAATTGTCTATTATAAGTCAGACTTTTTTTTAATAAAAATTTATTTTAACGAATGGGCGTTTGACACATTTATTTTTTCTAAAAATCACATAATAATATTCACTAAGATTAACTGCTACACGGAGAGAGAATATATATTAAATTTTGTAAAAATATTTTCAAATTGGGGAAAAAGTGCGACAAAGCGAAATTTTGATATAAAAAATACTAAACTTTAAAAAAACTTATGTGAAATTTAGTATAATTATATTAAATATCAAGAATATTAATTAAATTCTAATATAACTTTAGTAAATTTCACAAAACTTTTTTTAAAGTTTAGTATTTTCTATATCAAAATTTCGCTTTGTTGCACTTTTTCTCCAATTTGAAAATATTTTTACAAAATTTAATATATATTCTCTCTCCGTGTATTTGGCATAATTCCCAATTTTCTGAAAAGTTAAATGTCCTATTTTTTATTTTACTAATTATTGTTCGTTCTTCAAAGTATCTATTTCGCTTTTGTTGCAATCGTTGCAATGCAATGTAATGGCAATCATATTAACAGCTGAGCCTTTACGCTCGCTGCATGTTTCTGCCCTTTACTGGCAAATGGCTATAATACACGTCTTGCCGCCTGTCATAATTGCATTACTTTTGTACCTTTTGTATTTTCCATTCTGCAACCGCGTTTCTGCATAGATTTAAACAATCTTTTGAATTATTGTAATTTAGAAGATGCTTACCCATTGTTCGTTGGCAGATTTTCTAAAAAGTGCCCGTGTACAGAGAAAAACTAGTTCGAAAACATTTGTTTACTAATTTCACGTCGTTTAACCCAGGCAGTGCCGTTTTTCTTATAATAATTGTAAGTCGCACATAACCTACAAATTTCAGAGACTTGACAATTTAATTCACACCTTCAAAAATTGTTATGAATTAGAGATTATGATTAATTATTTATATATTCGACGAAATAATTCAATTCTCCTAATTAATCCATTATTCTATAATAAATCGTGTTATAATTTCTCTAACGGGCGAATTAATCTTTTTTTTATTTCGCCCATTTTTTTGTATATTCTTCTGACGGACGAAATAAACTATTATTCTTATTTCGCCCGTCACTGTGTATTTTTGTGACGATAAAAATTTTTTATTTTTAATAAAAAAAGTCTGACTTATAGACAATTGGAAGAACGAATAACAATTGGTAAAATAAAAAATAGGACATTTAATTTTTAAGTAAATTGTGAATTATGTCAATATTAGTGGATATGATTATGTGATTTTTAGAAAAAAAAAATATATATGTGACGCTCCACGAGAAAAGGGACCTTATGACAAGAGTAAATAAGGTCCCTTTTCTCGTGGAGCGTCACATATATATTTAAATAAAATAAATAATAAATTTTAGTTTATGTGGACATTAAAAAGTTGACAGAAATGACAGAAAATTATTCCGACAATTAGAATGAAGAAAAATAAGAATTATAGGAAATAAAAATAAGAAAAATGAATTTTACTTATAATATTTCAGGTTTAAAAATTGAGTCAATTGCAAATATTCGAGTAAACGAATTTTAGACTATTTATAAAGGCGAAAAAAGTACTGGATTTCCAATACTCAAACCAATACTCAAACCAATACTCACTCCAGTACTTTTTCCAATACTCATTCCAGTACTCTTTCCAATACTCATTCCAGTACTCTTTTTTCATAAGGGATAATTTACTATAAAAACGTAAAAAAATTATTAGAATTTATTAAGAATGAATTATTTTATTATTATAAGTTGGTAGAAACAATTATTAATAAGAAATATTAAATAAAAAATAATTTTAAAGTTTACTTGGCAAATAACCTATTTTTGCAAATTTCATTCACTAAATATGAGAAAGAGAAATCATTAAATTGAATAAAACCTTATGAAATATAAAGTACCTGTGATTAACTTTTAGTTTTTCTTATCATTTTCTTCCTGTTTTCTTCACAAATATTAATAAATAAGCATTTAAAACTGCCACTTTGCTTATTTTCACGATTTTCAAATGTAAATAACTTCTGCCCAGAAAAATGAAGAATTACGAAAATTGGGCAATAATTAATTCATCACTAGACCCGGGTCAAAATTTAAGCCCTACTTTCAGTCTAAAATATAGGTCTTATGTTAGGTTTTAGCAGTCGTAACGTTTGCGATACAATTAGTTCCAATTAGACTCTACTATAACTCCAAAAACTGGGTGGGAAATTTGATAAATTTTTAATGCATTAATTAAAGTACTACAAATTGACAAATATTGTTCTCTGCATTTGAATTGGTTAAAATATCTAATTTGATAATAAAAAGTCAATCACTGATTCAAATAGTAATATTTTCCTACTGAAATAGCTAATGGTAACTAATTATTATTCTTTTCCGGTCAAATTAAATTCCTGAGCTATTTCCTTATTTTCCAAATTGGTAGACACACTGTTAAATGTATTGGTAGAAACTAAAACCTGTCGAAGACGGGTACGACAGCTAGTTTAAACTATAATTGATGTACCTTTTGTCTCCTCTTCCTTGTGAGCTATTAGAAGTGGAAGGCTCGTCCGGACAATTGGTGGCAATATGTTTGCCAAATGTATTGCATTTGTAGCATAAAATGCCTTTCCCTTTATTTGAGCAGTTAAGGGCTATGTGTCCCCAACTCTGGCATTCATATCACCTCGCCGTTCCTTTTTTCACATAGTTAGGCGCTTTTATAACTTTTATCTCACTCGTTTGGTTTCTAGCCGGCTCATCCTGCATAACAAACATTTTTAACTCATCATGTTGTATCTGAACATTATTATTAAACGCATCTCGCTTTTCTTCATCAGATAGAGACACGGCCCCAGGAGAATTTTCATAACTTCTAACTTTATTATTGTTTTCTACTTTTAGTGTTTCTTGTTTTCTTTATTTTCTTCTTTACTATTTGAATTTTTTGAATTTAAATAATTTAATTTTTATATTTCCGTGTGCCGTCTCATCATCAAACGAAGAAGAAGTTTTTTCTATATTTACCTGCTTATTGATTGTTAGCATTTTCTTTTGCACTTCCACTATAGACTCAACTATTTTATTTAATTTAAAACCTTGTTGGGCACAATCATCTCTGACCAATTGGATTAAATCTACCATTGGTTGATTTTGTTTCTTCTCTTCTTCTATATTATTCAACTGTTGTATAATTAAATTTGTAATTTTTGTCTGTTGGATTATTGATTGTATTGACACATTACACAATTTTGTCACTAATCTAGTCAATTCGCTTATCTTATTCTCTTGTCGATCAATTCTTTCTAAAATTGAATTTTAATTATTTCATTAGTATTTTGGATAATTTTGTTTATTTACTTTTTCTTAAAATAGTATTGGTGGAAATAGGTTATTATATTTTCTGTCATTGTGGGTTTTTGTTTACCTTTCAGTGTTTGTTGTTTTAGTTGTTCCCAAAATCTAGCCATTTTCTCATCCATTGTCTCATCACTTCTATTTAACTCATCTTTATTTTCTTGTACTTTCGCTTCTTCTATTTCCCCCTCTTTGTCCTCATCTGACTTTGTCTCTTCTTCATTATCACTCATATTTTCTATTGATTCGCTGTCTGAGATTTTGGGAAGTTTCCTTGGCATTATCGGATGAATATCTTCTATTATTTTACTTTTGCACCAATCAGTGAGCATTCTCCATTGAATTTCACTGAACATTCGTTTCTCTGTGAATGATAAAATTCAATTTTTAATTGAATTCTATTTTATTGCCATGGTAATTTTTTATTTTATTTTGTCTCTGGACAGTTTACTGAACACAAGTATCACCGACCATGAGAATAAAAAGGGAACTTTCAGTAAATTTGAACACAAAATTACCTACTTATTCGACTTTTATTGATCATATTATAATAGCAAAAAAAAAATTATGAACAAACAGTAAAAATTGTGTGTTGTATGCATGCTTACCAACACTATTTGTTCATTAATTAATTTTTACAGATTTTATAAACACTTCTTAATAGATACTCATCGGCACTCGTACGTTTTTCTGAATTTTAACAATTTAATGTAAATAAGCTTACCGGCTTTGTATGTATTTCCTGAGTTTAAAATCAGGTTCAGCGTCTCATCCTCTATTTTCAATAGAACAGTCTCATTTTTGTGAAGCTCATCTAATTTGAAATTTTGAATCAGCTGATTCCATAAATTCTGTAGTTCGCTCGCTTCTGCAAAAATTTTATTCCATATATCATATTATCTCTCCTTTTGTATCTAATTTACTTTATTTATTAGTTTTATTTTATTTATCAATATCATCTTTAAAAAAAATATAAGTTTTTATTATTTATTTTTAAAAAAAAAAAATTTTACTTATTATTTTATTCTTAAACAAAGTTAATCAAGTTACGTTTTAACCTCAACAAAACTTTTCTCTTCTCACTTTATCATGACTCTATATTTCGTTTTTATATTGTTCACTTTCGGAAATTAAAAACGAAAACTCATACTGCCAATTTAAAAATGAATTCTTTAAACAAACTTTTGGCTTACCAATGGATTCACCCATTAGTTTAGTATATGTGCTAATCTGGTCATGGAAGATTTGGAGAATGATTTTTTTAATTTAAAAAAAAAAATGCAATTTTGATTTTTTGGCCTAAACTATGTAACAATAAAAACGTTTTATTTACTCACCACTAATCTTGGTCTGTGCACTATCACCCATCTTAATATCTTGTTCAAAACCTTTCGAATCTCTTTTACTCGTCGTTCTTGTCAATCACTTTCTTCCCAGTTGAAGCGTTTTCGCACTTTTCTTATATTACAAAAAATATAATTATTAAGCCCATAACTTGAAGGATTATGGTTATTAAGGCTGTTTTCGGCGTTCACACAGTGTAAACACACGAGTTAACTAAAGTTCAATAAATCCTTAATATTTGTTAACATTCTGTTGGAACTGTCCAATCAGGATTAACTCGGAGTTAACACCGTGTGAACGCCGAAAAGAAACACTTTATAAATTGAAAAAGTAATTGTATTTATTAACAGTCTTCTGGTAGTATAATTATGGTTAAACACGCGGTTATCACAGAAGTAACGTAAAATACTAATGAACACTCTCGGTGCATAAGTATAAATAAGCAGCTAACTGGCGCGCAAATCAACAGCGCATCTAGCTACTTTTTAAAAAAAAAAATATTTTTGAAAACGATATTCTTTGCTTCTTTTCAAAAATTTTTTTTTTTTTAAAAACGATAATATTTTACGAAAAGGAATTATAAAATTTCCTTTTGCTTTAATGTATTGCGATTGAAGGAATTAATAATTTTTCAAAGTAAGGTCACTTTTTTGTTTTAAAATATAGTCCTTTCGTGAATAAAAAATTTATAAAAAAAAGCATTCAGTCAATGTGGCATATTAAATAAATAAAAACGTTTCGTTCTTTATCAAAAAAATATTTCTTATAAAAATATACCACTAAAATGTTTAGAAAATATTATTTAGAGAAAAATGTAAATCCGCTTAATTCCTTTTTTCTCCTTTTTATTCTCCTTTCTTTGCTTCTTTTCAAAAAAAATTATTTCTCAGAACGATAATATTTTACGAAAAGAAATTATACTATTCTCTTTTGTATTAATGTATTGCGATTGAACGAATTAATAAATTTTCAAAGTCAGGTCACTTTTTAGTATTAAAATATAATGAGACCTAAATATAAAGAACAAAAAGTGGAATAATCTTTTCGTAAATAAAAAATTTACAAATGAAAAGATTCTGTCAGTGGGGCATATTAATTAAATAAAAATGTTTCTTTCTTCATCGAAAATAAAATTAATAATTTTTGAAAGTAAGGTAAATTTTTACTTTTAAAATATAATGTGACCTAAATATATAAGAACAAAATGTGGAATAATCCTTTTCCTGAATAAAACATTTTCAAAGAAAAGCATTCAGGCAGTGTGGCATATTTAACAAATAAAAACGTTTATTTTTTTATAAAAAAAAATTATTTAAAACAAAATTTAATAAAATTCTACACAAACCTTTAATTATTTTCAAAAAATAATAAAAATTTCACAGAAATTTCATTATTTACAAATTTTTTTATAAATCTCTTCGCAATCATTCAATTATTTTCATAAATAATAAAATTTTTACTGGGATTCAATTATTTTGGTAAATAATAAAATTCTTATTAGGAAATCAATTATTTTGATAAATAATAAAACTCATTGCAGCATTTTAATTATTTTAATACAATTTGAATTGAATTCCTCGAAAAAAGGAAATTATTCTTAAAAATTTTATTAAAATTCGTCAAAAGCATTCAATTATTTAAAAATTTATTGATCCAATTCTTTATGAGAATTCAATTTTAAGAAACATGCAACTATTCAATAAATTGTTTTTTTTTGTATTTAAATAATTGAATTCTGGTTGAATTTTTTAATAAAAATTAATTTAAAAATGTATATCAGTTAAAATTTTAGATTATAATTGAATATTAAAAGCATTAGAGCATAAATTTTTAGAAATAATTGAATTTTGAAAAAGTTTCAGATTAAAATCTTTGAAAGTTTGAATTTTTCATATTTTTAACTAACAATTCTGTGGAATTAATTTTTTTTGAGAAAGTTTAATAGTGGATTTTTTTTATATTATTTGAGGTTTTTATTTTCTAATATATATTTAATTAAAGAATTTACGAATAATTGAAATTTTATAAAATTGATTATTGTAAACAAATGAATTTGAAAATTGTCAAAGAACTTTTTCGAAATTTATTAAAAATAATCGATTTTAAGAATAGAATTATTATTTAAAAATTCTTGAAAATAATAATTTTATCAACTGGGTCATCTTTAATTATTATAAAACATAAGTTATCGATATCTTCATGTTTTATAGTTATGAAAAATTTAATTTATAGTTTTAAGTAAAATATTCTCTTATTTGACTTTCATTATTTTAAAAAATAATTGAATTTTTGAAAAGAAACAAATTTATTATAAAAAATGTATTAAAATTTATAATAATTATTGAATTTTTTATGAAATATAGTGAAATTTTTAAAAATAATTAAATTTTTTCCAGACATTTTATTAAAATTGTAGGTATTTAAAATAATTTAATTCTTTGTTGGATTTTCTTTTTAATTTTAATTAAAATTGAATTCTTTCGAGAAATTTTAGTAAAATTGTATTGAAAATAATTGACTTCTTTGGAAGAATTTTATTGAAATTTTTAAAAGAAAAGAATACTTTTCAGAAACCTTATAATAATATTATTTATGAAAAGCCTATCCCATGAAATATAATGCCAAAAGGAGTTTGAGTTGAAAAATTAAAAAAGCTTAAAATTGTATTTTCTTAATGAAAATTCTCTATTATTTTCCCCTGATTCTCAACCATTAATTCCCTCATTTCTCCATTATATTTCCCCATTCTCTCTTTTCGCTTTCGTAAGTTTATAGCAACTCCCTCGAAAAGGTGTCTCCTATTCGCTTACATGGCAGCAGACTCTCTTGGTAAACCACAAATCCGTGAAAATTTATATGCCTTACAGTTATTCTATCTACAAGTGCTAATGACACCTATATATATAAAAAGACTCACAGTATGAATTTTTTTTCATCCCCTTTAATTTATTTTTCCGTGATTTTTTTTTCTTTTTCTCTCTTTCTCCTTTTTTTGTAATCAATACCTCAGTAGTGTGCCAGATGCTAAAGAGATAAAATATAACTGAAATGAAATTTAACTGCGTGTATTATTTTCTAAACGATTTAAAATTACAGCTTAGCAAATGCATAGAGATAAAATCTGTTGAAAAGGAAAATTTAATATAACTAGTATGGAAATTAATTGCAATAATAAAGTTTGAAATTATTTCCAAAACGATTGTCTTTTCATATTATGCATTTAGTTAAATGTATATATAGTTACGTTCATGGATATCTTTTTATGGGAAAAGTTTAATATTTCTCGATGATTACGGAAACTAGTTCAAATGACTGTGTTATTACATAGTTGACGATGTTTGAACAGTATAGGGAAGCACAAATTGGTAGAAACTCGGCGCTTGTGTAAACGAACAAACATCTCCAATAACCATTGTTTCATATTAGGACACACAAGTTCAATTCATCGAATGAACTAAAATTCTAATTCGTCAATAATTCAAGAACAAAATCAATATTTCTTTGACGTTGAATTGACAAGGACAAATTTTCGACTATAATTTCCATTTGTCATTAAAATAAAACTTTCTTTAAATGAACTTATCAAAGAAAGAAAATTTCTTTTAATCATAGAAAAAAAAATTTTTGTTTAAAACAGTAAAAACGATAAGATTAGATTTTTAATTAAATAGATTAGATTAATTAGAATTTTTTACAAATTAAATTAGTTCTTTAAATGAGGATTTGTTCAAAATAGTTATTAATTTAATTTTTAAGTCTTTTTATTTGTTAACTAAATTTCTTCCTAACTTTTTGTTTCTTTACTATTTTTTACTATTATTTTCGTCGATTAGTAAAAAACAGTTTTTTCATTCAAAAAGATTATTAATAATAAAATTACAGCAAAAAAATAACAAAATTTTAATAAAATTAAAAATTTTTTTTATTTAATAACTAAATTTCTTCCTGACTTTTTCTTTTTTATTATTTTTTCTCTATTTTTTGATCGATTTGTAAAAAATAGTTCTTTCATTAAAAAATATTACTGCAATAAATGACTATTATTTAAATTTTTTTTATTTGTTATCTAAATTTCTTCCTAACTTTTTGTTTCTTTACTCTTTTTTCTCTATTTTTTCTTCGATTAGTAAAAAATAGTTCCTTCATTCTAAAAAATTACTAATAATAAAATTACAGCAAAAAAATGACTATTTTTAATAAAATTAAAAATTTGTTTTATTTGTTTACTACATTTTCTCTTAATTTTTCTTTAGTCTTTTTTCTTTATTTTATTTTATCAGTTAGTAAAAAATAGATCTTTTATTTAAAAAATTACTTTGAAATAATTTTAATACATTATAATTAATAATAATAATTTATTAATTAGTTTTCTTATCTAACTGGAATATATTTCAATAAATTTAATTATTTATTTTTAATTACTAATTCATTTTTAATTACTACTTTATTATCAATGACTAATTTATCATCTATCAATAATTAATTTAAATATTCAGAAAAAAATTAACAACTTTTAAACAAGTAATACATATTTAATTAATTAAAAATTCTAATAATTTCCATTTATAGATACTATTTTCAAAAAAAATTTTATTTCTTGATTTTAATAAATAATGCACAGCGAGTGATTTTATGAATTGACAAATTTTTTTTTTGTTCAAGTCGAGAGCGTGTCATTAAAAAAAAATACAAAATAAAATCTCATTTCTTTTTCCTCATGAAAGAAATAAAACAATTTTTTCTCGATTGATGCAAATTTTTTTTGCTTATTCATTTGCGTAGTAATATAATAAAGAAAAGGTTATAAAATTATTTTTGAAATAACATTGCCGCAAAAATTGTAAAGAAAAAAATTCTTGAGTAGGTTATTTTTTTTTTGAAAAAAATTCTTACCTGGTATTTTAGAGTGGTTTTCTTTCAGAATTTTAAACGTGCTGGTACATCATGCAAAAGAGAATTGGATCTTACCTGAAACATAAAAGCGAAGTAATGCATTAAAAAACAGAATTGTAAAATACAAAATTTTGTACTTAAAATGTATATTAAAGATAAAATAGTATAGAAATATTAAATTTTTTTGCGATATTGTAAAAAAAAAAAATGTCACAGGAAAAGGAATAAAAAATGTTGTATAATTTTTTCTTTTTTTGAGACATTATATCTTTTAACACTTTTCTTTAAAGTGAAGTTTAATTTAATATTTTTTTCATTCATTCGAACTAAAAGACAAACTGAACAATTATTTTAATTAATTCCCAAATTATTTGGATTATATTCCTTGTTATGTTGAATAATTTCCTTTTTCTCTTCTAGATTTTTACAATTTAAATAATAAAACTTTCAGACCATATAATACACAATAAGAATTTTTTTGGAATTCACATATTTTAGATAACATGATAAACAAGTACATGTATATATGTATGAAAATTGTATAGTCGAAAAGTGTTGCTGAAAATTTCTCTCGTTCAAGGCGTAAATCTACAAAAGCATAATTTACATGACTTGAAAACTTAGAAAAAGTTCACCTTCCGATTTCATTTTTCAAGAATACAAAAGAAATTCCACGGGAATAACTCTCATTTATCAGGCTTTTAAATTTTAAAGTAAAATTTCTATTGTGTACACACTAAAAAAAAGAAAATTCACTCCTTTCGTGAAAACTGCTAAACTCTCGCGAGATATACTCGAAAATAAAACGAAGATGCAAGTAGAAAAAAATAGAAAAAACAAAAATTCTTACAACACTACATAAAAATAAAAGTCAGAAAAAACGAAAATTGTACAAAAAGCCATTGCAGTTTCTATTATAATTATCTTAAAACACCTAAGCGTTTAATTTCCCCGAGAGTTGAACATTATCTTACAAATTTATGTGTGTACATACAGGAAACTCGATTTTCGAGAAATTCTAAGAGAAAATGACTCTTAAGTTCACTATGTAGAATAATTTTGCATATAAACACATTGGCAAAATGAAACAACTAAACGAGTTGTTCAAAGAGTAACTGTTGAATTGAGAGTACATAAATCAATGAGTAATCTTGATATTAATTAACACACAGCTTTTACTACAAGAGTTTTAACAATATTATCAAATATTAACTGAAATTTAACATAGTTGTTAAAATTTATATCTCAACTGAGCAAATATAACTTTTCCCGATCCAATTTAAAGTCGAATCATTCAATCAAAATCAATTAAAAAACAAACAATGAAATAAATTCAATTCATCATTTCAATTCAGGTCAAAAGTCCCAGGTCAATTGCCCCACATACCAGAAAAATATTTAGTTAAAATTAAAATTATGAATATACTCCAAAAAATACAGGTCAGTAGGCGAAAATAATCAACAATTTTAGGTCACAGGTACAAGTGACATAGGAACTATTAAAATTTAGCTCAAATATTCAGGTCAAGAAATGAAGAATCGAACTTTGAAACTTAAATCAAATCTGCAATTTTTGGAAAACAAAAAGGGGATTTAATTCTAAAATTTCTTGTTGCAGATGTGACAGGAGCAGGTCAAAGGATAAACTTGAAAATAAAGGTCAAATTCACTGGTCAAGAGACAAATAAAAGCTTAAAGTTTAGGTCAACTTGATAGGTTAAGAAACGAATTCAATCCTAAAATTTAGTTTACAGATTCTATTGAAAAGAAAATTCTCGAACTAAAGGTCAAATTCAGACGTCAAAACTAAAAATTAAAAAATAAATTAAAAATTAAAATTTAGTTCAAAGATTAAGTAGCGACGAAGAAATACTTAAAATTTAGGTCGAAGGCGCAAGTCAAAGAGTTAATTTAATACTAAAATAAAGATTACGGATTCAGGTCAAAGGACAAACCACAAAATACAGGTCAAATTTACAGGTAAAGAGATAAATGTAACATTAAAATTTAGGTCAACGTCACATGTAATTAGGAAAAGGAAAAAAATTTTGTCAAAGTAACAGATCAAGTAAAGACGAAGCGAAACTTAAAATTTAGGTCAAAAGCTCAGGTCAAGAAGTAAATTTAATCCTAAATTATAGGTTACAGGCTCAGCTGAAAGGAAAAACTCGAATGTAAGTAAGTGAGGTCAAATTCAAAGGTTTAATTTCTAAATGTCAAGAGACCGAAAATTTAGGTCAAACAGTAAACGAAAATTTTTTGGTCAAATTCCTTGTCTAAATGTGAAAGACACGCTTAGAAATTACGGCACATTCTATGAACGAAAACTAAAACTAATATTTTCGAAACTATGAATAAACCAAATTTTAGGTCATAATAAAAGGTCAATAATCAGTTTAGTGTCAAATGCACATCCCTGAAAGTTAGGTCCATAAATCACTGTCAAAAAGACGAATATAACCTTAAAATTATTGTCAATGATGGAGGTAAATAGAAAAACATCTAAATTTAGGTCAAAAGTTAAACTAAAAATCTGGAAATGTTGGTCAAAGACACATTTCAAGAAGTAATTTTACCCTTAAAGTTTAAATAGCACAAAAATATAAAAAATGTAGGTCAAAATCGTGGGGCAAAAGACGACATAACCTAAAGGTATTTTGCCCCACGATTTTGACCTAAATTTTTTATATTTTTAGGTCAAAAAATCAAGTCAAACGACGAATGTATAATCTTTATTTTAGGTCAAAATTACAGTGTAGGAGGAAAATAATTCTTTTATAATGCAGGTCAAATTTTTAGGTCAATAGAAAAACGTAACCTAAAAATTGTTTACAAGTACAGGGCAAGAAATGAAACATAACCTAAAAATTTAGGTCAAAAGCCATAAAAGAAATGAATACAAATAAGCAAGTAAAAGTACAAGTACAAGTAATACAAGTAAAAGCTGGATTTTCTCATTCATAGGAAATTTTTGGACACTTTGAAGACTTGTGGTGCAAAACTGATAAGAGTGAGAAAGGCAAGTTTGCAAATTAAAGTGAATGATTATATGAAATTAAAATGATTAAATTCTGAGAGAAATGTTAAGAGAAAATTCACCGATTGAATACCCCCCAAAATTGCTTTTCTTCGGGGTTAAAAGGCTACGTTCCAGTGGCTTAACCAGAAGCACCCCAGTCACGCTCGACCCGTTAAATACTCCGACCACATGTTACACGACGAACTACTTCCTGGAAGATAATTATTTTAATTAACGATACTGCTCGACCCACTTTAAACCACTGCGCTCAGAGACTCATGCAATGAAAGAAGAATATATACATATATCGTTGAGTAAAAAAGATGCAAAAAAGGCGCAGCAGCAAATGCTAATTAATTTTTCGCATCAAGGCTTTCAAAAAGAGTAGACACAATTTTATAAGAATCGTTATATTTATTGAGAAAAATATTGACACTTGTCCTTTCCACTTAAATGTCAATATTAATAATGAGTGTCACCATTTTTTATATGACTAATCAAATTATCATTTCAACTAGAAATTGGAAAAGAAATTTTTTTAATACTTTGAAATGAAAAATTAATTAAAGTAAAAACTGAGTGCAAATAATTTAAATATAAAAATTATAATTAATTAAAATCAACTAAATACTGATTCATTGAAATAAACTAAAATCAAATTACTTCAAGTCTAGAAAATAAAAATTAATTGCAAAAACTAAATGAAAATTAATTAAAATAAACTAAATACAAATTAATCGAAATAAACTAAATAAAAAAATTTAATTAAAATGCAGTAAATATCAAAATTAAAAAACAAAGTCCAAAAATAAAAAAAAATGCAAAAATTAAACATTTTTTTGCAGTGTTTTTTCAATAATTGCACTCAGAAAAAATTTATTTGAAACAAATTTTAATCAAATAACTTTTTTCGTACTATTAATTCTTGTAGGTAATTAAAATTCTTTATAAAATGAATTAAATTGAAAAATTAAGTATTTGATACAAATGAATTTTTATTTTATAATTGTCGGATAAACAATTATATGAATCAAATATTTCTGTGTGCTAAAAAAATTAAAGTTTTCATTCAACCAATAAAATTTTGAAAATAATTCGAAATATTGAAACTGACACCACTATACTATAATATTTTTTGAGAAAATACATTCGTTTACTTTCTTTCTCATTTTTATGAATATTGAATAAAAAAATCTTTTTCTGAATAAAATAAAAATTACTATTTATTAAAATAAATATAAAAATAAATGTCGAAATAAATTTACTTTTACTTCCTATACTCTAAAGTTAAATAAAAAATGTTTTCTTTAATAGAAAAAGAAAGTTGAGCAACTTGTTTTACGTAATAACAAAAATAAGTCAAAAGTCAAGTGAAATAGATATTATTTTCCTTTTTCAATTTCAGTTCGTTTTTCAGTATAAAGCTGCTTTCACAAATATATACACACCGAAAAATTTTCAATGTAACTCGCAGAGTGACTCGATTTCATATCCTGATTTGAGGGAAATAAAGTTTGTGGATTTAGAGCAAACAGAGGAGAACATTTTGGCACAGTTTCGAAAAAATAGAAAGAAACTCCTTTTTTTCTTTTTCATTGCTAACTTTTTGGCAAGCGTTGGCCACACTATACGAGAGGACTAATCGTAAAAGAGCTTCGAAAATCTATAAACAGAGAATATCGAGTAAAAAACGAATAGAGGTAACACAAAAATACAAAAAAAAAACACTAGGCTGAATATTTATATTCTAAACAGCGTGTTATAAAAGAGAACTGACAATGACAAAAAAAAAAGTAAAGAGTGAGGGGTGATGATAAAAGTACCAATACTCAAGTTCCGACAAATATTGAAGCTACATGTTCACAAAAATTCCTTTGAAAGCGCTAAAAAACTATAGTCACAGAAATGTCCTCATCACAATTGTTGTACTGAACCTGAAAGAATTAATTTCAAATCCCTTCCAAAATATCAAAAAATATAAATAAATGACAGTTCATTTTAGCTTGTAAAATAGATTTGTAAAATTTTTTAATATTTATTTTTCCCTTTTTAATAA